ATTATATGCCAAAAGCATGCTACGCCTGCCTGCATCAGTCATTGCGTGGTGTTAATGGTTTCATTATGAAGTGCATCAAAGTCTCCAACATCTTTCTTCCCTACCCCTTATCAGGTTGCCAATACGGATATCATAACACTCAAGTCTGCTGGTCTCAGTACACGCAAAGCCGAGTATGGTCAGTGTCATTGTCGATTTCGCTGTGAATCCCATCAACCGAGTCTAAGCTATAATTTCCTGTCAGTAAAAGACCTTGCTGCGCGATTTGCAGATGGAAGGCTTTCAACAGAAAAATTACTTGCTGCAGATGATAAAACCCTTGCTGAAATGCTTATAGAAGTGCGAGGGATTGGACGGGTATGTAGTTTAAATAACAATATTTGTCCTTCATTAACATCTCGCTTCTTGTCACCAAGTGGACTGGTGAGTGTTATATTACTTTTTATCCAAGAATATCTCATAATTCCAGTGCAGTTGACATGTTCGCAATCTTCTCCCTCCGTCGTCCAAACATCCTCCCAGTAGGTGACCTCGGTATCCAGCGAGGAATGTTGCGCTGGTTTCTCTCGCGCCACTCGTCTAAGCACCCATTTACACTTTCACCGCATAAACTGAGCGGTGACGAATCCAACGATGACAAAACAAAAGGGGCAAGTGCCAGTGCGATGGGACCACCGTCTACAACTCCTGCACCGAAAACAACCCCTAGTTCTCAACTGACAGGAGATGTAGAACCGAATAATGAGGTGTTGCCGACATTGTCTGAGTCACAATCACAGACTCCCGCTTTAATTAAATCGCTTCCTGAACCGTTTACTCCCTCGATTGACAAGACTCTCGAGGCAGACGCGATGAACACAGAACCCCTTCCCGAAGGTCTGAGCGTTGCGGATTTGAAATCAAGGCTAGAAAGAAAGAAGATCAAGTATGTCACTTGGATTTTTCTTTTGTGGACAATTTCTCATCAAGGCTCTCTGAAGAGGAGCGTTCCTTACTTCGAAAGAAATGGAAGATTTGACCGCGTCTTGGGCACCGTATCGAAGTATAGGTATTTACTATATGTGGTCTCTGACAGAGAAGAACTAGGTTGTCGCCCGCACCTCAATCTGAATATTTTAATCTTGGCTTACATATATCTTCTTGCTTTGTGATATGTATAGTAGCTTGTAAGTACAGTGCCGTCAGATTCAAATCTTGAATGTTCATAGTTTGGCTTTGAAAGTTTCAACTTGTGATATCAGTGCTCGACCTGAGTTTAGTCACTGGTTGTTCGTCCCAACAAATCCACCACGATTTGCAAAGTTAGGTTTTTTGTCGAGATGTGGACGATCGATCAGTTACTGCACCTTAGTCTGGATACTTAGCTCGCGTTCGTCACCCAGTACATTGATGATATATCTACTGCTATTGTCCAGACAGATCAGGCGGTATAAACATCTGTGAAAGGCAAATATATCGAATTGCCAAATTGGCTCCTTCTGTGACACGGAAACAGTAAGGAGAGGGTCTGACATGCACGAATGCGCTATCCGAGCAAGGGTATATGCGCACATGACGGGTTCTTAGGGATAAGATACAGTCCCGCCATCGTGACCCCTCGTCGACTGATGCATCCATTAGAAGAGTAATATCATACTAAACGTTATATGCGGTCGTCTCTGCTGAAAGAATCCGTGATCAAGAGTTCCTGCAGTGAAAGTATGCATTAGCCAGTGCCGAGGTCAAGATACTGAAATCTACCTCAGGTGCAAAGGGCCACCGGTCGAAGGCGCCGACGACAGCAGCCCAGTCCTCTACACTCATTTTCTTGATGGTCTTTTTCATGTCAGTCCTCTGATGGAGTGGAACATCATCACCCGTGAGGTAAGACTTTAGAACGTCAGATCCAGGTGCTAGATGACTAGAGGAAGATCGATAAAATTTTCACGATTAAAAGTGGACTCGTGAGCATACCCAACAGCGTTCTTGAGAGGAGTCGACTTCAGCACAAAGAGTTTCCGTAGGCAGTAATCCCATTTGTCCAGCATGCCTGACTGAATGATCTGCGCATGACGTCAGTGATTTAAATGTGCAGGAAACATGGCAAGTACCTGATGCTCCAATGGTCTGAATGTACCTGCTACGAATGGCGTACCTCTGCGTCTGTTTTCAGTCTTTGAAGAATATGCAGGGTTTGTAGCATCAGGGTAGAAATGGTTATTATACGGTACCAGCAGCCGTGGCTCAATGGCGTGACTAAACTCAGAAACGGCTTGTGCGATGACGCTTAGCTTGCATCGAGCCGGATCCTCAGTAGACGCAGAGATACGCTATCGCTTGTGTCAGATGGGGATGACTAGTCTGTGGAATGAGACCACTTACATCCCATACCCAGTCGTGCATTAGATAACTCATTGGAATACGACCGTGTTTGAACAACCATGACTGTTCTGGTGCACATCGCAATAATTGTGCTAAGAGCTGCTCGCCCAGGACATCCATAGGAAGGTGCGAGATAAAGTGTAGATATGGATTTGACTGATTCCATGGAATATTCTCCACGTCGTCCAGGAAGCCTTGGACGTCTAGCTGATGATACGTGTCCCACGAAAAGCCGTTCATTGGCAAAACTTGTACTCTAGGGTCCGCTTCCTGCAGAGGCTGTCAAAGACTATCAGCATGATCAAACTCTGTAAAGCTCATTTCGCACATTCAGGAAGTTGAGATACTGTTCTACATCCTCGAGCACGATGATTTTTCGGATTCGTTCTTTCGGCAACTGCATTAAAGCGCGAGTTAATGCACCGGGACCTTTGTGGGCTCTGTAAGTACTCAAAGACTGAAATTTAAATATCGATACCCTCACCGGGATACGCTTCTATAATAACTTTATCCCTCGAGCCGCTAGGAACGAATGACTCTGCAACTAGTGCCGCCGTCTCGGGATTAGCGATGGAAATACGACTTTTGAATGCCATGCCGCTAGTGGGAAAGTAGTTTCGCCATTTCGAACGCGGGGGCAGATCAAACCTGTTGATCGGGAGTGGTATGTTAGCTTTCCGTGTCTTGGGTTTGCGAACAGCTTTCGAAGTCGAGATACTTTGGAGTTCAGCTTCGGGCTTGATGTCCTCAATGCTTTGAATATCCTCGGAACGATCGCGTCTTGTTGGCTGTGTTGTGAGGGCCTTCGCGACTATATCCTCAGGAATATTCTTGATCCTGTAGGAGCGTCTGATGCTTGTAGAAAATGGCCTCTGAAGGAGAAACGGAAAAGACATTGAATGATGACTAAGATGCCCGAAACGCGTCGTAGACTCGTAGTACTAACAGAACATCCTGGCTTAGCTTGAACACGTGTTGGACGTGATACCGACGTATCTGCTATTTTCTACTCAGTATGAGTAGATCATACGCGCCTATATATAACTTCGCCCATTGTCCAATCTGTGTGCATCATTCGTCTGCCCCTCCCACCGAATCGCTGTGAGACCGTAACCACTGCGGAATCACTGGTCTTCTTAATTTGTTCAAGTTCTCTGAGCCATTACAGATCGCTGTGCCACAGATCAAATGATGAGCAAGTCCGTGATGGACTGTGGTGCTATCCAGGAGAATACCTGTGCCAAGACGCCAGTAGGACATGAGCGCATTGATCGATCTCCTCTAACAAGCACTACCTCTATCTCTTCCGACCAATACACATATGCAAGCAAAGAAGCGTGTTGATCGTGGCATGCTTTGATGGGTTGTACTGATGCGGTCTAAGTTTGTGCTACATGCTACCATGAATCCACCGTAAGGTAATCGTGAACTTATTCGACGTAGGCACCCGCAAGTACTCGACCGACATCTTGTCACGTAGACCATACATCGCTTACACCGAGGAAGTCATTCAGAGGGGATTATAGCTCATTGACCACCAGTCATATATATAAACGGGCGAGGTGTGTTCCTGCTTCCTAATCTGACTCGAGATTTTTTGCCCACTAAATGGATCACCAGGATTGCGACCTAGTTTTCTTAATCTCGTTATATATATTTGGGATTCTGGAAGCTAAGCACGCGGGTTCTGATAATCTCCCGCTGTCTTCAAAAACACCGAGACTAGTACCGGACTTCAAAAACCGGTTCGTCCGGATGCTCTTCTTGGATGGATGGGATGTATGTAACCATATCACTGCTCTGCTGAGATTGAACAGCATGGTGTCTCTGCAGCAAACAAGATTCTCATATCCCTCGTGGCAAGTAATTGGACTGTTTTCCGTTGTTCCATTAACCTTGATTACCACTGCATCAACATTGATTATCACTGGTGGCGTCCTACGACGAGATGATAAAAATATGAGTTGAAACGCGCCTGTGCCCAAATCAGCTCACAGTTGTTACGCATAGTGTATGGGCGCGTTCTTCCATTTGCATCAAAGTGGAGCAAAAATCGCTGAAGCCTCCGGCGAATAGCATTTCTTCGAATTTCAAAATCACTCTTTTGCCAGCGAGCAGCTGCTTATGGGGTAGTGCCGGTGCTCCGTGTTTGCTACATTGGAAATCTAATGCCTCCAATTTCACGATACGGGTAGGACCGCAGTGCTACTGGTTTCGACTGAATCACCTGTGCAGTATAATTTGATCTTGCCGGTCACACGGCGAATGCAAAGTTACAAACTGGATGCAATCAGGCAAATTCAGATTATGGAAGTGTATAAGGGCGAGTTCTGCGGTTCTGAACTCCCATCCATTACGAGCCTGCAATGGTCGCTCCCATAGTCAATACCGGAATTCAGACAGCGAAGGTAAGAATTTCCGAATATACTTTCCAAATGAGGTTGATTGACTGCAACCACTCTAGTATTGCAATGGTACGTGGACTTCATCCAGGGTCCTCACTATTTTCATCTTGAATACACGCAGTGGCTGATCTAGGAGTTTTGGTAGGCCTTACAAGTCATGGAAAATATTCCCTCTTATGATCCATAGATTTTTGACTATTTCTTAACGCTCGAACCTGAGGTGAGGATTCTTTATCGAGTTCGAACATCTATTGAAAATGTTGCAAGGTTCGATTGACGTGGAACAGGCGCTGGAACGTCACTCGTATTCTTTTCATAATTTCACGCTACATGGCCTTTGTAGCAGCTGGTATGACTTCATATGGTGAACAGCTACCCGTATCTCATGGTTCGTAACGTTGACGAGTGACTAGCTGCCATTGCTACACGAGCGAATGAGGACGTCAGTGTGTTTTGCTTACTATATGATTGTTGTATGAACTAAAGGATATCGAATATAGTGCTCGCACTTTGGCCAGGCTTCAAATGGTGATCAATGTCTTGAGCAGCCAGCGTTTTACTGATTTCACTGCAGCAATTCACATCATCAGTATCGTCGCTGCTGAAGGTGCGGTCCGTGTTTATAATGTCTTCTGGGCCTGAAATCCATCTCTATTTTTCAAGGTCTTTTGATCATTCGTACATATGTATTCTGGAAACAGAGCAAAAAGCTCTTGGCAGTGTTGCTGGTCTTGGCAGCAGTACGTTGGTCTTGTTATGCGTGCTCATATTCATATTCATCGTCTGCTGACATCGCAACGCAGATTTCCATTGCGTGTGCTGTCAGTATCACAGATGTTGTCAGTAATTTATTAGCGGCGCCTGTGGACCCTTCAGGTGGGTCCCCTTTATTATTTTTTCATTGTTGTAGACGGCAACCTTGGTTTTAAAGCTCCCCCCACAAGCAACTGCACTTTTCAAGCAGGTCGCAGCAGTGCCGTTCAATACGGCTTTCTTATAGCCTACGAATCGTGTAAGGATATCTTATTTCCGTCCCATCTTCGCTGATTTCTCAATCCCATCCACCCAGTGCTGATGTCTTTAATGGTGTTCAAGAGATATCAAGACTACAAAGATTCAGATAGTCGTCTAGTGAGAGCCGTCTACCAGGGCGCAGTGCGGTATATGACTGCCATAATTTGTTGGTGGTCTTTTGTTCAATTTAACATGTCCTGTGTTGAATCGCTCCTGCCAGTTGTTTCTGTGGTCAATATAGTGATCATGTCCGTGGTTCCAGTAAGTTGCATGTTGTGTCCGTTCATCAATGTTTGCTAATTTTGGGAAGGCATCATATAACATGATGATGGACGTGTGCGTGGCAATTCGTTTATAATGGTAAAAAAACTGATGGCATCATGACAGGCCACAGCTTGTCCTGCACAGTATGTTGGCATCCCGTGTGCTCTTTGGATTGCGTGAAAGTGACCAGGATGAATCGAATGCGGGGACATTACAGATGTCGACATTTCGTCCAGCTCAGCGCCACCAATACACTTCATTTGGTTGATTATGTTCTATAGTCATGGTATGGCCCATCAATGCAGACGTGTCATAAAAAAGAGTTCGCCTATGAAGAGCCACCAAGCTGGAGGCTGGAGGATACTGTCATGAAGCATGATCATCTGCCTCTCCATTTGGTTGCCCTGCTATTATCCTATTCTAATTTGCTCTTCACTTCTTCCAGCGAAATCTTTCTTGGGTCCACCTCTGTCCAGTATGACAGAAGCAGCCTCTGATGTTCTCGCAGGAGACGCTCAAGATTTGCTAATGTTACTCAACCATGCCGGGTATTATGCAACCATATAGACTCTACAAAAGAGACGCTTTGCAAAGAGGGGTATGATGGATACGAACACCCGCCATAATCATCGTATCTACTCGTGAACTGGCAAACGTCTTAGAGGCGTTATTGTCACTTGAGCTACTAGTACGCGCGGAAAGCGAACAGGAAGTTCTACACGTACTAATAACCGATGGGTAGATTCTGGCTTTCTGAGGGGAGCTTCAGTCAGTGCATGCGCGTCTATTGAAAGGTACACCCTATGTAGTATATAGCTCCGTTCCATTCCTAACAAAGCCAAACATTACCAAGGTCTAGACTGTGGTACTATTTACTACTAAACAAGACAAAATATGCACGTGATTTATTGGACCAAGGCAACTTTGGAGCGAATACAGATACAGTCAGTCAATGAAACAGCAGTGCCGCGTGTTTGAATCTCCACTGTAAGCAAACCATCACAGAGACAACATTTAAATCTGGGGCTTGAATGAACCGACAGCAGACGAAATGCATGAATCGCACATAATGAAAGAAAAGATCAGACACAAACAACAACCAAACAGGACTTTGACAGTAACAAACAACAGAACACAAGCTCCGCAAGGTATTTCGTCGGCGACGCCGACCCCTAGTTGAGACTATAGATCTGCTCTATCCTGTGGGCTCGGTACTTCGCGTATAAATTCTTCTCGGTTCTGACATAAACATTATCAAGTTTCCCATTTACAAGCCTTACACTCGCTCGCACAAAATATTCTGTCACAACTCCGGGTCAGCCATACAACGCCCCGACGTCAAGAGATTTCTTTACCAGCAGCACTGAACGCTGTCGCCGTTACGCCGCTCTCGCGCAGGAAACGCAGTCACTCAATTCTCAATTTCTGTCGTCCAGATGATGCAAATAGATATTCAAACATTCAGCAGTGCTCTCGGCCCACGGCACCGATAACATATTCAAACCTCCATCGCTTCTTTATCAAGCTCAAGTAAATATTCTCGATGAACTCCTCTCGGCCCCGCGGGATACAACAAAATCGTCGTGCTTTAGCCATTCCTGCTCTCATACATTCATACATGTCTCAGAGGACATTAACGCGTGTCGCGTCACTAAATCTCAGCACCTCCCTCATCAGCTCGCACGATCTCGTAGCCATCCTATCTACATCAGTCAACTCCTTAACACAGCGAAATATTATTGCGCTCACGAACGAGAGCACGCGTTCAACGGGGAACTCGACTCTGAAATCATGACATACCGTTGCATGTGTGTTATATTATCGAGGTATGAGCTGCAACATGATGATATCATGGCACACATCTCGACGAGGAATCCAGGCAGAGTTACATTATTATACTCCTGCTATTTCGATTTTTGTTTTGCGATAACGTTCCTGGCTACAGTTGCCCATCTAATATGACGATGTGGTAGATCAAATGCCAAGTCAATGGGCAGAAATAACCGAAATTCCGCATGTGCATGGCGAGTTCACCTTCCGTGAAGGACACTACATCTCTGAAGTGATTCATGAGACTGGGTTGCTCGTCGCGCTATGATGGTACGTATCTTACCTCGATCTTTGCTCTCATTGCTGTGATCTGACCCGGTCTACCGCACGCAGGAGGTTCACCCTGCAGATACTGGGAATGTACGCCTGACCTTCACGGTGGGATGCCCATTGGTCCGCTCTACTTTAAGTAAGTCGTGCACCCGTTGCCACGTTTCCTACGTACTGCCTAATACAGGGCCCCGCCCTAACAGACGATAAATAACAACATGAAAAAAATCAATGACGTTCATCATCTGTTTGTTACACAAGCTCGACCCTTCTCTGAGTCGCAAGTGTCGTAAACCAATGCCGGTATGATATGAATGTCCTGATCTGGTGGTAGTGAGTGGTATCGGCTTGCTAAGCGCACAATGACCAACTGCTCTCTTTCAATTGGTACGTGAAGATATCTAGCATCCAGCCCTCTGCAGCAATTAAGCCCACTATATCCGTATTCATGACAAGTAACTGAACTGCCAGTTTTCTGCTGTGCCACGACCCCGATTGCCACTGAAGGCGTGAGATAATGGATAGGTGAGTTGAACCGCGCCGAGAGCATGATGCCCAAATCAGCCCCTAACGAGTTCACAGCTTGTTGTGCATAGTACATGTGTGGGCGTCTCACATGTAGTAATTGCCAAGGGGTGGAACAAATCGTCACCGCTGAGAGATTTCAACATTTCGACCCGCACACGTTGCCCAGTGCTCCTCCGTGATTAGATGCTGAATTTCAAATTCGCTCAGGCAAGCTCAGTGCCTGGTGCGTGAAGAGATTTAGTGCCACCGTCAGTTTTACGATACGGATAGGACAGGATAGGACCCTGCTTTGACTGAATCACCTATACAGTTTATGTTAATCTCGCACGGCGAGTGTCGAATCGGATTCAAATTTACATAAATCGTGTAAGCATATAAGAGCGAGTTCTGGAGCCTTATCCAGTACGAGTATACAATGGTCATGCCCATAGCCAATACAGGAATTCAGACTGCGAAGGTAAGAATTTCCGAATATATTTTCCAGCTGAGATTTATTGACTGCAACTACTCCAGTATTGCAATGGTACGTGGACTTCACACAGGGGTTTACATCACTTTCATCTTGAATATATGCAGTGGCCGGTCTAGGAGTTTTGGTAGGTATACAAACCATGGACAATATTCCCTCTTAAGCTCCGTAGATTTTTGACTATTTCTTAACGCTCGAACCTGAGGTGAGTGTTACTTTAATGAGTTCGAACATCTCCCGACAGTGTTGCAAGGTTCGATGGACATGGAATGGTCGCTGGAACATCACTCGTGTTCTTTTCATAATTTCACGCTACATGGCCTTTGTAGCAGCTGGTATGACTTCATACGGTGAGCGACTACTCCGAGTCATATCTCCTGGTACGTAACATTGACTAGTGACTAGCTGCCATTGCTACACGAGCGAATGAGGACGTCAGTGTGTTTTGCTTACTATATGATTATTGTATGAACTAAAGGATATTGAATACAGTGCTCACACTTCAACCGGGCTTCAAATGGTGATCAATGTCTTGAGCAGCCAGCGTTTTTACTGATTTCACTGCAGCAATTCACATTATCACTATTGTGGCTGCTGAAGGTGCGGTCCATGTTTATAATGTCTTCTGGGTTTGAAATTTATTTCTATTTTTCAAGGTCTTTTGATCATTCGTACATATGTATTCTGGAAACAGAGCAAAAAGCTCTTGGTAGTGTTACTAGTCTTGGCAGCAGTACGTTGGGCCGGTCATGCGTGCTCATACTCATCGTCTGTTGATATCGCAACGTAGATTTCCATTGCGTGTGCTGTCAGTATCACGGAGGTTGTCAATAATGTAGTGGCGCCTGCGGACCCTTCAGGTAGGTCCCCTTTATTTTGTTTTCATTGTTGTAGACGGCAACCTTGGTTTTAAAGCTCCCCACACAAGTAACTGCACTTTTCAAGCAGGTCGCAGCAGTGCCATTCAATACGGCTTTCTTGTAGCCTACGAACTGTGTAAGGATATCTCGTCTCAGTCCCATCTCAGCTCAATCCTATCTACAGTGCTGATGTCTTTAATGATGTTCAAGAGATATCAGGACTACAGAGATTCTGACAGTCGTCTAGTGAGAGCTGTCTTCCAGGGCGGAATGCGGTATATGACTGCCATAATTTGTCGGTGGTCTTTTGTTCAATTTAGTATGTCCCGTGTTGAAGCGCTCGTGCCAGTTGTTTCTGTGGTCAATATAGTGATCATGTCCGTGGTTCCAGTAAGTTGCACGTTGTATCCGTTCATCAAATTTTGCTAATTTGGGGAAGGCATCATATGATATGATGATGGATGTGTGCGTAGCAATTTGTTTATAATAGCCTAATAAAAATTTTGATGCATCATAACAGGCCACAGCTTGTCCTGCACAGTATGTTGGCATCCCGTGTGCTCTTTGTTCTGCGTGAAAGTGACCAGGATGAATCGGATGGGGGGACATTACAGATGTCGACATTTCGTCCAGCTCAGCACAACCAATACACTTCATTTGATTGATTGTATCCTATAATCATGGCATGGCCCATCAGAATGCAGATGTGACATTAAAGAGTGTTTGCCTATCAAAGAGAAGGATACTGTCATGAAGCATGATCATCTGCTGCTCCATCTGGTTTACCTGCTCTGCATCTTCATTATCCTCTTCTGCATTACTCTTCACCTGTTCAGCGTAATCATTCTTTGGTCCGCCTCTATCCAATTCTTCTGATGAGGTAGCCTCTGATATTCTCGCAGGAGGCGTTCAAGATCAGCTAACTGCACCCAACTATGCTGGGTGCTGTGCAGCCATATAGACTCTGCAAGTGAGGAGCGGCTTTGCAAAGAGGGGCATGGTGTGTGCATGCCAACGTCATTGCTATCCAGTCATATCTGCTACTGCACCACTGGGCAAAACCACCTGTAGTGGCCAGAGCATGGTGAACTAGACTTGAGAGAGATGTGCATACTTGTCTGGACAAGGTTAGAATGTTAATATGTGATTCCGAGGCTTGATAGCCATATGTGTAGGTGTATGTAAGCCACCAGGCTTACTTTGCAAATGATCCCCTATTTAGGTAGATAACTATCATTAGTAAACTCTGCACTACAAAACGCAAGATATGTAGTTGGGTAGATGTCAGATGGTCGGAGCAACGATTTCCAGTGGGATAGAGATGCAATTCAAAATATTGAGAGAGCAAACACTGTCATGTTAGCTAGGACATATGCGCAAAATGAGTGTTAGAGTGAGTACTACTCAAGTGAAGGAGCTGAGAATAAGCAAGATACCATGGACAACGTCCCATTCAAGAATCAATGTTTGGCATGCTCATCATGGACTACTATCAAGTTGCTGCATATTGTGTGTTGTCTATTTGGCAACAGCTAAAGCCAAACAGCCCAAACCACATCCAGAACTAGCTATCTGCATTTTCCAGTGTTGAAATTGCAAATTGTCCAGTAGCTGACTTGTGGTTGAGGCAAGAATGGGTGTACCTTTCCATAGACCCACCTTCACATGTGCATTGGTCGTGCCTCCCATCAGAAAGCTGGAAACTAGATATTGAGTATCACATGTGGAACACTCTGCATCCACCTGTTCACCTTCCATGCATCAGCGTAAGTTTCAAAAGTGCTGCTATTCTGAGCACATTTATTTCCCTGACATCAGCTGTGAGTTTGTTGATTTTCACCGGCACTTGCTAGGCAATTCAATGATGGGTGGTGAATATGTTGAGCATGCTGAGTCTGGCAGAGACAGGAATGATGGTGAAGATGGCAAGGCTGATGAATTTGCAGAGACAGTACAAGATGAAAATGAACTCGCTATACAGTCTTTGCTCCTTCCAGGCACCTCAATCTTCCATCTTCATGGTTCCCTTCCTACACCAATCCATCTCACCTCTACACAGGTTTTCGTTTTTCCTTCCCAAAGCTCAAGAAATCCCACATCCTCTTATTGTCTTTTGTACATCTGTAACATCCTGTGATCTCTACTTGCCTCTGGTTCATTCAGCCATACAGCATGACCTGCTGATCAAAGGTGACACGACTGAGCATGTGTACAGAGTGGGACACAGCATGTGCAGGAAAGGGTGGTAAAACTTGGAGTATCATTGCGCTCAGCGAATCCAAATGAGTAAAATGAGTAGAGGGGAAGATGAAGGGCGATGTGATGGGAGACCAGCCTGACAGTCACAAAGTCAACATCACTCTTGAAGAGGCGAGCACCAAGAGCATATTGATGAAGGGCTTTGGTGAAAAAGGCTGAGTATGAGAAATGTGCTATAGAAGAGCAATTGTCTTTGGAATGGCGATGTGGTGCCTATTGGTAGGTTGTGAAATACCATACGTTACAAGGTTTTGGTTACAAGGCAAATCATATTGGCATGCAAAAGAGAGTTCACAATAAGTGTGCAGAGGTTGTTCAGCTGGTATAAAACTAAGACCTAGTAAGTTACTGTGGATTGATACAGAACACAATAAAAAATGAACATGAAGATACATGTCTAGATAGTTGCTAGCCTTGTGTAGCAAACACTGCTTGATTCATTTCCAATGTTTAATGGGCTATTGGAGGTGCCTGATTTGGGTGCACTGTTGCTATTGACCGAGAACTTGTCCGAAGTTTGTTTCTGGATGTGCAAACATGGGGTACAGTGGTGTTGGGCCTTGGAGAGGGGAAGGGTGACTGAAGCTTCCATTGTTGAGTGCCGGGAATTGGGACCAATGGCTGACAAACATTCATTAGGCTGTGTGTTGAAGATTCAAACTAAGGATGAGAGATAATTAGAAGAGGTTTCACAAAATGAAAAAAAGTCAAACCTCAAGGTAATAACATTTGCAAGTTTCTGGGACTCCATCAGCAAAACCCTAACCCTATGTGCAGCACTGCACAACGCTGCACAGTAATCACAGTGTCACAGCAAGGTCCCCCCATGTACAGCGCTGTACAGTGCTGCACACTACACAATTTCTCAATAAAACATAATTATTAGCACACCATCTTGTTATATACATGTTTATGACTACATTACACTCATTTTTACATAGAATCAATACTTGTGTGGTGCTGCAGAGCCTTTACAACAAAATCTATGTGACCTGTGACACGCTGTGTGGCTGTGGCACTGTACCCAAATCAGGGTTTTGCTGATGTCAGATAAAATATCAAGACAAGATCGCATTCCCTTCAAACACCACTGCCATTCAAGCCAGGAAAGGAGGTGACAATTCCAGAAAACCTGGAATATACAGATGAGAGTGTCGTCCCATGGATTTGGAGCACGCGACAGGTGAAAAATCCAGTTTTGAGATGCATACTTGAGAGTGTCAGAAGATGATTGACTTCATTCCTGTGCCTTGTTTGCAAAAGCTAGAAAGAGATCCATAGCACAGATGATCTCCCTGTCAGGAACTTCTGGTGATGTGGAGGTGAAATTATTTTGGGGTATCAATGCCAGGAACATTGGAAGCATCAAGAAATCTGGTAAGCTTTTGAACTGCTGGACCACTTTGAAAGCCAGCAGTAAAGCCAATTCTGGGACAATGATGTAGTTACTGATTGCTTCCAATGTACTTGAGAATTAATCCATAGTTGTCCATATGGACCCCGCAGGAGTGGATTGCCATGCTTGGCCATCGGGCATCTGGAGCCAGTTTCGCCTGCTCAGGGTCTGAAGCCAACTTTGCCCGCCTGGGGCCTGAAGCCAGTCTTGCCTGCCCGCTGGGGTCTGGAGCCAATCTAACCTGCCTGGGGTCTGGAGCCAGTCCCACCCTTCCTGGGTCTGGAGCCAATCTTGCCCTCTCTGGGTTTGCACCCAGTCTTGCCTGTCTAGGGTCTGTGCCCAGTGTTGTCCTCCCTGGACTTGCACCCAGACACCTGTGTCAGGGACCCATACCCAGGCCAGCCCTCCCTGGATATGCAGCAAGCTTTGCCCTGCGTAAGTCCATGGCTGGTTCAGGGTCTGCAGCCAGTTTTGTCCTCTGGGGGCCTGCAGCCAGTCTGGTACTGCATAGGTGTGCAGTAGGATCTGCAGCCAGCCTCCTCCTCCACAGGTCTCCAGCCAGTTTTGTCCATCCTGGGTTTGTAGCCAGTCTCATCCTGGCCAGGTCTGCAACCACTCTCATCCTCCCTTGGTCCACAGCCAGTTTTGTCCTGCCTGGGTCTGCAGCCAGTCTTGTCCTGCCTGGGTCTGCAGCCAGTCTTGTCCTGCCTGGGTCAGCAGCCAATCTCGTCCTCCCTCATGCTCTAGCCACTCTTGTCCTCCCTCAGTCTGCAGCCACACTTGTGCTGCCCAGGTCTGCACCCACTTTCATCCACCCTCAGTCTGCAGCCAGGCTTGTCCTCCCTCAGTCTGCAGCCAGACTCACCCTCCCTCAGTCTCCAACCAGTTTTGTCCTCTCCAGGTCTGCAGCCAGGCTTGTCCTCCTTGGGTCTGCAGTCAGTTTCATACCTCAAGTCCTCCTGTTCTCCATACTCCAGACCTCCTACCCTTCCATCCTGTTTCCTGTAGAAGTATTACCTTGCAGTGGGAACTCTCCTGAGCACTTCCTGCATTCCTCCAGAACTCTCCCATGCTCCTCTGGAAGTCCTCCAGACTTCATCGGACCATCATTGGACTTCCTCTGAAATGAAGGGCACATACTCAGGTAAGGGGCACAGTGTACAAGCTGAGGCCAAGCCCCTCTGAGTCAGTCTCTCTCTCCCTTGAGCATGGTTCTTAACAGATCTCCTCAAAGCCATAACATACAGATAAGAACTGACAGCAGCTCTGGTGGCTGAACAAGGAAGGATAGTGAAGCTTTTAATCAATGGGGGTCCCCAGGTTGCATAGCTTGGCTTTGTTTCTTCATGTTAAGGTCGTACTCAAGGGATAACTGGATCTGAAGGGCTTTGGCCTCAGCTCATGTGCTGTGCCCCTTACCCGAGTATTGCCCCTTATTTCAGGAAGGCAAGACTAATGCATCCAGAAGGTCAGACAAGTATCATAGTGGATCCAGATGACTTCTGGATGCAGGATAGGTATCATAGGGCTAATCCGGACGAGTCCAGACTAGAAACTAACAGTAATGGACTGTTGGAGACAGAGGCGGATATGGATAGACTATAGGAATCAATCCTAAGTCTCAGAGGGTGATGAGAGTAGAGATACTCAAGTCCAGAGGACAGGAATGAGTAGAACTAAGATGATATTTGAACTGAGGTGCTACAGAGAGTTACAGGAGGTTATATACTATAGGTATCTAATGGAATGATCAATCAGCAGAGTCCGAGGCTATGTACAAAGCATATAGATAGTCTATTGGTAAGTAGAAACAGATCACAAATCATGAAACAGAAATGAAACATAGGTAACAGATCAGGGAGCAGGACGGATATACAGATAACCGAAATACCAGAGTTAGGGGGTTACCGAAAGGAGATGAGTGCTGGTTGTGGATTCGGATGAGTTGTGGACTGGACCAGACAAGTGGACAGATTGAATGACAAGATGTTGGAGGGAGATAAGATGTGGATAGGATCAGAGATAAGATGTGGATCTGAGATGAGATAAGGGTCAGATCTGAGATCTGGATATGCAGATATGACACTTCAATTCTGAGAGCACATCTAAAAGGGCTGTGCTTTCTGGAATATGTTTCCTCATCAAGTGAAAAGAGGAATCAGTGAGTAGGGAGTGGGGTGATGGCATATTGTGTTTGCATACTTGAGGGAGGCTGCAGTTTGAGGGGTCAGAAACATAGTCGCAAATGGATGATTGATAGATATTCATGGGAAGAATACTGTCTATAGGAATATCCATGACAGACCATAGCTGTATCAATGTTGTCTGCACATCCCTGCCCAACCCAGGGCCAAGAAGTGACGATATTTGCAAGATAGGAAGAGGGTCTGTGAGGGCAGTGACGATGGACAAGTGCATGTAAGCCTGCTTGGGGTCAGCACATGTGGAGAGGATACAGTCGTATAACTTGTGCACCTCCATTCCTGCTAGCAGCTCGCTCATCAGCCTGAGCATCAGCTGTAAGCGATCACAGGGATCCTTGTCTTCATCGTTGATAATATTAAACTTCACCATTGTAGCTGCCACGATGAAACGTCTGCCAGTGCGGCTCACCAGCTGCATGAGTTCATCCTTCGTTGGCTGAGGAAAATTGGGGTGATGACTTGCCAGCTTTGTGAAGGAATGCTCCAAAAAAATATAGATATCTGTGTCGACATTGCCACCATCAAGCAACATGATGGTACCAACGCCCTTTCCAGAAGTTTTCACTGGGATTTTGCACAGCAATGGGCAAACCTCTTCATTCTGAAAGGCTTCAGAGATATGGGTTTCCAAGCAACTTGTGAGCAGAATGTGGGTCATGGGAATATCAGGGTCACAAAGAGCCTGCATGAGGGAAAGGATGAGGTCAGTAAGCTCAGGTTCGGATGTGCATTCATCAAGGGCATTGACAACAAATGTCAGAGGGGGACACCTGTGTAATCTGAATTGAAGTTTCCAGAGGGGTTTAAGAAAGAGAGCCTCCATCTGGTCATAGAGAGGCATGTCCAGGTCTAGTAGAGCAGGATTGTTGTGGATCACTCTGTTCATATCCTGCTGAATGCTTGGAAAATTATTGGCAAGCTGGTAGGCAAGTGTTGCAAATAAATATCCAGCTGTGCAACATTTGGTGTGTTTGTGTGAGAAAAAAAATGTACCCGCTAGCCGCATTTCAACATTTGTCTCCTCTGTCACTTTTAGACCTTTCATCCTCTCAGCTATGGTGAATGCGACAGCAGACTTTCTGACACCTGCTGTGCCATGCAGCCAGATAAGTTGATTCCTCTTTCGGTCATCCAAGAATCCATGGATATATTTGAGAAGATCCACCTGGGTCCCTTCCAAACACTTCAGGTGGGGCTGACATTCATGGGAGTTATACTGAGCACCCTGGACAGCAACTTGGGACAGCTTCATCCAAGTTCCTTCAAGAGCTGTCAAAAGGGTCAGAAAGTGAGAGAGGGACAAGAGTGAGAAAAACTAACATTGTTCTTCACTCATTCACAAAGGTTGTGATATGCGTGATGAAATGGACAAATTGAGAGCACTAGCTGGGTGCAGTTGAAAATCATCTAGGCGATAATTATCTCAAGGGATGACGTACAAGGATCTGGAGTCAAACTAAGTCGACAACTTAGGGTCCCAATGTGTGATGGAGATGGGATGGAATGAATAGATGATTCAATCTATGGAAAACTTGTTGGATGGATACAGTTCATGAGGACAAGTGGGTGCCAGTGCTTGTTCGGCTGCAGGAGGCCACGAGGTTGCTGTGCATGCTGTATTTACAGTAGTATGATGTCTTCAGATGCTGTTGAAGTAGAAATGATACTAGGAGAGATATTCTTGTACAGGTAAAAACCTGTAGATTTTGTAGTATAAGGGGCAGCATCTTCCATCTCGACTCATACGTCAGATTCTTAGTACTAACAATCAAAACAAGCTTCAGCGCTCTACTAGTACTTACCTTGATACTTACGCCCTTCTATTCCTAACAGAGCCAAACATCGAGTCTCCCGCGGGTTGCTATGGCACAAATCTGCTCTATCGGTACTTCGCATATAAATTATTTTCAGTCCTAAGCCTAGTATCAAGTCTCCCATTTACAAGCCTTGCGCCCCCTCGCATACATTCTGTCACGATCACATAACTGTATTTATGTATACAACACTCCCCACCCTATCGCCGGCTCTTCGCAAGTTTCCCTCAACGATATATCACCAGCGAATCCCATCGTGAAACTTGAAGATGCGAATGAGACAGGTCAAATGTACACGAAATCCTAACATGCATCGGAGTCTCAGCTCATTGATGAACTCATTATCGAAGGGCCATGGCCGAATCTCTGGATGCACGCAGACATTCAGAGGCATCTCACATCAAGAACGTCGCTCAGTAAGTCGAAGAGATCGCGTGTTCTGAAGTGCAATGTGGCGAGCTGATCCTTCAGAAGGACCATGACAAGCACGAAGGCGTCTGCGTGTACCACTCAACGGGTGTGGTATGACCACTACATTAAGTATTGTAATCTCAGCGTATGTGTATGCATGACGACTCATCCTCAGTCTTCTGACGAAGTGTTGGTAGACTCACATCTCATAGTGTTCTTCCAAGCCTGCGACCTGCAGTTTCTACTTTGAACAATCCCAAGGTCGCAATCGCAGTCCCAAGCACACATTGTGTAATATCTAGACTACGAAATTCCATACACGCGCCTTAACAATGGCTGTTCTTCATTTTGTCACTGGTGTCAACTCTTTCCCGCCTATACGTCGATATCAAGAGATTTCTTTGCCAGCAGTGCTGAACGCCGTCGTCATTATGTTGCTTTCGCGCAGGAAACGCAGTTACTCAATTTATGTTATCCAGACGATGCGAATAGGCATTCAAACATTCAGCAGTGCTATCGGCCCAGTGTCGATAACATATCCAAACCTCCTCCGTCGCTTCATTACCAAACTCTTCAAATAAACGTTCTTGATGAACTCCTCTCGGCCTGTGAGTTACAACAAAACCATCGTGCTTGACCTATTCCTGCTCTCACCCGCGATGGGACCACAGATCCATACGTGTCTCAAAGGACATTGACGCGTGTCGCGCCACTAGATTTAGGCACCTCCCTCATCAGCTCACGCGATCCCGTAGCCATATTATCTGCATCAGCCGACTCCTTAGCACGGCGAAATGCTATTGCATTCACGAACGAGAGTGCGCGTTCAATGAGGAACTCGACTCTGAAATACACTGTTTACGGCATACAATTGCATGCGTGTTCTTATATCATCGAAGTATGGGCTGTAACATCACGATGTTGCGATGTCACGGTACACACCTCGATGACAGAGGAGGCCAAGCATGTATACTCCTGCTATTCCGATTTTTGTCTTGCGATATCTTCTGGTAATGTTCTTGGCTACAGTTGCCCGCTTGATGGATATGACGCACAGGTGACGTGGCAAGATTCAATGCCAAGCCAATGAGCAGAACTCACGAAAATTCCATACGTGCGTGGAGGGCTCACCTTTCATGAAGGACACTGCATCTGCAAAGCGATTCATGATTATGGGTTACTCTCTTACCTCGACCTTTGCTCTCATTGCTGTGATCTGACCCGGTCTATCGCACGCAGGAGGTTAACCCTGCGCTTGCAGATGCTGAGAGTGTACGTCAAACCATCATGGCGGGGTGCCCATTGGTCTGCTCTGCTTTGGGTAAGTCGTGCACTTGTTGTCACCTTCCCTGTCAGTGTTTGCACGGTCTGCCCACTGTTCTTGAATTGGGACACATGGCAACATGCTCACTTTCGGGCATCCATATGGATAACCTACAACGTGAATTATTAATAACGCTCATCATCTGTTTGTTACACAGGTTCAACCCTTCTCCGAGTTGCAAGTGTCGTAAACCAATGCCGGTATGATATGAATGTTCTGATCTGGTGGTAGTGAGTGGTATCGGCCTGTTAAGCGCACAGTGACCAACTGTTCTTTTTCAGCTCTCTTAATTGGTGCGTGAATATACCTAGCATCCAGCACTCTGCAGCAATTAAGCCCACCATATCCGTATTCATGACGAGTAACTGAGCTGCCAGTTTTCTGCTGTGCCACGACTCCGATTGTCACTGAAGGCGTGAGATGATAGCTATGTAAGTTGAAACGCGCCGAGAGCATGATCCCCAAATCAGCTCCTAACACTTCACAGCCTGTTCTGCATAGTATATGGGCATCTGGAATTAGTAACTACCAAAGAGTGGAGCAAACTGTCACTGCTGAGAGATTTCGACATTTCGACCCGCACGCATTGCCCAATGCTCTTCTGTGATCAGATGCTGAATTTCAAATTCACTCTTATGGGCAAGCTCAGTGCCTGTAGTACTCCCCTGCGTGGTGAGATTTAGTGCCACCATCAGTCCTACGATACGGATATTGATGGGACCTGTGTGGTTTATTTTAATCTCGCACATCGGATTCAAATTTAAGCGTATAAAAGCGGGTTCTAGAGTCTTATCTAGTACGAGCGTGCAATGGTCGCGCCCATAGTCAATACAGGGATTCAGACAGCCAAGGTAGAAATTCCCGAATATATTTTCTAGATGATGTTTATTGATTGCAATTACTCTAGTATTGCAATGGTACGTGGACTTCATACAGCGGTTTACACTATTTTCATCTTGAATATGCGCAGTGGCTGGTCTAGGAGTTTTGGTAGGTCTACAAATCATGGACAATATCCTGTCTTATGCCTTCGTAGATTTTCGATTATTTCTTAATGCTCGGGGCTGAGGTGAGCATTTCTTCATAAAGTTCAACATATCTTCACAAATGTTGCAAGGTTCGATGGACATGGAACAGGCACTGGGACGCTAGTCGTGTTCTTTTCGTGATCTCACGCTACATAGCCTTTGTAGCAGCTGGCATGACTTCATACAGTGAGCAGCTACCGTCCTATCTTCTGGTACGTGACATTAACGAGTGTCTAGCTGCCATTGCTACACGAGCGAACGAAAATGTTAGTGTGTTTTGCTCATGTGGTTGTTGTATGAACTGAAGAACATCGAATTATTATAATAGTGCTCCCGCTTCAGCCAAGCTTCAAATGGTGATCAATATCGAGAACAGTCAGCGTCTTGTCGCTGATGTTTACTGCAGCAATTCACATCATCAGTATTGTAGCTGCTGAAGGTTCGCTCCATATCTGTAGTGTCTTCTGAGCCTGAAATTTATCTCTATTTTTCAAGGTCTTTTGATCATTCGTACATATGCATTCTGGAAACAGAACAAAAAGCTCTTGGCAGTGTTACTGGTCATGGCGGCGGTACGTTTCTCTGGTTTCATGCTCAAACTGGTCGTTTATTGATATCGCAATGTAGATTTGCATAGCGTTAGCTGTTAGTATTACGCAAGTCGTTAATAATCTAGCGGCGCCTGCAAACCCTTCAGGTGGGTCTCCCTTTTTTCTTTCCTTGTCGTATACGACAACTTTGCTTTTCAAGATCCCCCCACAAGCAACTGCACGTTCGAAGCGGGTCGCAGCAGTGCCATTCAATATGGCTTTCTCGTGGCCTTCGAACTGTGTAAGGACATCTCGTTTCCGTCCCATCTTAGCGCAATTTTTCATCCCATCTACAGTACTAATGTCTTTAACGGTGTTCAAGAGATATCAAGATTACAGATATTCCAACAGTCGTCTAGTGAGAACCGTCTTCCAGGGCGGAGTGCGATATATGACCGCCATCATTTGTGCGGTGACCTTTTGTTCAATTTAACATGTTCCATGCTGAAGTCCTTCTTCCAGTTGTTTCTGTGGCCAATATATTGATTATGTCTGTGGTGCCGGTAGGTTGCATGGTTTATCTGCTCATTTCACAAATTTCGTTAATTCGGGTAGGTATCATACGACGAAATGATGGACGTGTACGTGGCAACTCGTTGAGGATGGTCTAATGAAATAACTGATGGATCATGACAGGCCACAACTTGTCCTCCACAGTATGTTAGCATCCCGCGTGCTTTTTAATCTGCGCGAAAGTGATCAGGGAATGGATGGGACAACATTGCAGATGTCGGCATTTCGTCCGGCTTAGTACAATACAAGGAATACCTCACTTGGACTTGATCGATTGTCCTGCAGTCGCAGTATGCCACATCAGAATGTATAAGTAGACTAGCATAAAGATCTCGCCTATCAAGGACAACTGTGATCAAACTGGAGGAGACTATCATGAAGCATGATCGTCTGCTGCTCCATCTGGTTTCCCTGCTCTGTATCTTCCTTTTCCTCTTCTAGGTTTCTCTTCACCTCGTTTTTGGATCCGCCTCTGTCCAGTACTTCTGACAGGACAGAAGTAGCCCCTGACGTCCTCGCAGGAGACGCTCAAGATCTGCCAATGGCACACAACTGTGCCGGATGTTGTGGAACCATATCATTACACTCCACAAGCGAGGCACTTTGCAAAGAGGGGCATGGTGTGTAGATGCCAGCGTCATTGCATATATGTTACGTACTGCGCAGCCAGACAGAACCACGTGTAGTGGCCAGAGCACGGTGAATTAGATGTGCGCAGTTGTCTGAACAAGGTTGAAACGTGAATCAGGCTCGCCAAAGTTATTTGATGTGTATTTTTGTTATGAATTAAATACACAATACATCGAAAGCATATTACAAATGAACAACAAACGACAGCGTCACTGATATCCGAACTCTCATGGTAAAGTAAGTAAAAACACGCCTGCGAAACTTGCTAGCGAAAAAGTAAGAACAAACTTAAAGAGCGCTGAAGCTGGTACTATTAAGAGGGGGTCCAGGGTCACGAAGACAGTACAAGATAGGATGCAGGCGCCGTGAACCTCGAGCCACCCGAAACTCAACTATACTTCGATTATTAAGCGCTATAGATGAGAGTCGTTCGAGAATCGAGTGGAATAGTGGTGAGAACCAGGGACATTCAGACTTATGGTCGATTGAGATTAGAGAACCGACTCGAAAATCGGAGTCAGAATCGAGGCGTCTCCAGAGCCGCTTCAACGATTCTTGTCGATTGTCGATTCTACCCTCTGTCATCCCAGCCCATATTGTCAATATGATATATCATTTTACACTCATTAAAACCCAGCCATGATATATCCCTGGTGTTGGCTTACCACAGGCATCCACAGATGATGTATCACCACAAATGATATACTGTAGAGTTACGACCGTAGCTTCGCGCCCTTTCGGGTGTGACAATGTCACACTTAGCTTCGCAGGTAGTGTTGTGGGCAGAACTATTTTGGGGTAGTTCTGCCGGCAGAATTGGCAGAACTTGGCAGAACCATGTTCTGCCAGCGTGGCAGATGGCAGAATCGAATTTTTTTTGTGTCTGTACTACATTGATGTAAGACCACTTGATAGTAACATTGAGTCAATATTCCAAGTCCCATCTTCATTCACATCATGATCTGTGACCATAATCTCATCCTCTACTGCTGCAGGCACTAATCCCTCGTCAACACACTGCAATTCTGCAAAGTCGAATGCATTCCCTTCTAAAACTTCCCTCCCATCCACATCCCAGTCTGACAGAAACTCTGTGTCAATCATTTTTTCTGCTTTGCGAATATCTTCGAGCCAAGCAAACTCAGCATCAATGTCATCAAGTGAAATTGATTCAGGACCTTCGAGATTGCAGTTGGTGTCACCAGAAACTGCTGCGAGCGGAGGAACAAATGCAAAGTCGGTCTCGAGCTGCTTGGCAACATCTGTATCAATGCCTGGAAGTTTGGTTGTATGCATGTGAGTGTGACGACATCGTGTTGGCTTGCCATCAGCAACATTTTTAAGATGAATATGATAGTGAAGGTTGGCTCATATCTTGCTGAGTGTCTGGAACGTGTTGATGGAGAGGTTGCAGCACTTGACTGACTGCATGCCACCGAGGTCCAAAAACAGGCGTTCAACCTCAGCTGTGTGTGGGACAATGGACAGGATGATAATTGCGAAAGCCTTGAGTGGGTGCATTTCAGAGTTGATTGGGAGATTCTCCCACCAAGCGAGTCCATCTGCTTGGCCCCTGGCAAATGGTGAATGACATAGATTATAAGCTTTCAGGTCCATGACAAGTACGTCAGCCTTCGCTTTACTCCACTTCCACTGAAGGGCAACTTCTAATGCCACTTTGACCATGAATTCGAAAGGGCAGCCACTCGCTGCCTGAGTAACAGCGAGTTTATGACACATTGGGTGGAGGAATAGGGCAAGGGTATGATATTTTGTATTGATTGAGTGAAACCGACAGTTAAAGACTGACTTTGCATGAGTGAAGAAGGTGCTGTCATCGCCATCATCAAGTTGTAGTGTTGACATCTTGTGTGCACAACAAATGAGTTCGAGCATGCACTCTGCAAGGTTGCAGTCTCGATTCTCGATGTTCCCAATGGTGTTGACGATGAACTTTGTTGTCCTCACCATTTGGTCTAAATAGTTCCAGTAGTTTGGAGTATGTATGACAGTCTTGATGACGTCCGCAGCAACAGGTGTTTGACCATTTACCCTCCTCTGGGCTTCAGGACCTAGACAAATATGAGATAATGCATGCCTATATGTAATAAATTAGTTGAATGTTTCAGGAGTGCACTCGTACCATGTACTGATGTTCAAGAACACTAAGACACTGAAGAATAAGAGCATAAAAATGAGTTTCGCAGTTCTGCTTCAGTTTGCGAGTGACACCAAGTTTCTTTGCTTCATCACTCAGTTGCCCACCCCAAAAGTGCGATGAATTAAAGAAGGTAATGATGCGAGTTGTCTTCGAAAGGATTTTCTTCATTGGGCCATGAGAGAAAATCTCACCAAGAAGTGTATTCATGCTATGCAAGAAGCATGCGAAAGTCTGTTCAAAAATAAACTTGATGGCTTGTGAAGAAATTCCTACACTTACGAGCACCCAATAGAACTTAGTTTGAAACTTTTGACGGAATGACTGCATGACAGTCGGATTGTTGGTAGTTGCAGCCACAATTTTTTTCCCATCTCCAATCTCCATTGCTTTCATTGCTTTCTCCAACATGGCCATAAGGTTATCTACTGTTCCTCGCACTCCCATCATATCTTCGAGAGCCAAGATAATGGGGTGTTGTTTTACTTCAGCAGCAAGGGACCCATAGAGACTTCGCCTAAGCTTATCTTCCCATCCATCAAGAAGTAGAGTGAGTAGTCTCCTGCCCTTCAGTCTATCAACTTCTTCCAGTTTGACTCTTGCAGCTTCACTATTGAGAAGGCTGTGAGATAATACATAGCGTGTTGGTGTTGTATACGAGGGCCAAATTTCATTTAAAAATTGGTGAAAATAGAAATCACCACCAGCATAGAATGGTATGTTCGCGTGAATGAAAAACCTATAACGAGATTAGGCCATTGAGTGCGCACTGAATAGTACTAGTACTCACTGAAGAAGTTTAATGTCAGTGCGGGCTTTCTGGTCATCGTTCAATGGATGATCCATGAAACCATCTAGGGTTGTCTTCTTCCGCTTGCGAACAGGGGCAACTGCACCGGACTCAACAACCAATAGGCTTGAAGAAGAAGCATTGCTTCCTTCGTCATCACCTGAAGTCACTGCCACTATCAAAGCCACCTTTCCACCGGCAGGTTTCTTCATAAGGTGTTGCAGTGCCTCGCGACGAGTCTCTTGTGGACAATTGCTGCATTTTACGGCATCCATGAGGTGTATGAAGAGATTATTATTATGTCTGTCGATGCGGGTGTCACAGTGGTTGCAGTTCCACCAATATCTGTTGGACTTTGCGGAAGTAGCATCCCCCCTTTTGAAGTTGTTTTCAATGAGGGAGTTCAGAGGCCGGCCTCCAGACTTAGTAGTCATTGTAGAGAGTTCGTAGCACCTTAATTCACGATACACTACTAATCTAACACTGTATAGTACATACATTACTGCTCCCACGGTTCTGAGTTCTGCCATATTCTGCCCTGGAGGTTCTGCCATCTGCCTGGCAGTGCCAGTTCTGCCCTGCCACGTGGCAGAATGGCAGAGTTCTGCCCACAACACTATTCGCAGGCCCTTGCGATGTGTGACCTATCCAAGTTAGCTTCACCCTGGCAGCTGCAATCCATGTGAGTTTGGCCTTTTCTCAGCATGTCCATCAATTTTGACCCTTCAGAATGAATCTTGTGTCTAACTGTCCGTAGCAATTTTTGGTTTTTGTGTTGGCGATTTTTCCTGTTTTACCGCATGTCACAAAATAGCTTCACTCCCCGAAATTTAGTGTGACCGTCACATCAAATAGGTTCGATTCACTGTGGGGTGGGACATGTGACGAAGTTATGGTCGTAACTCTACAGTATCACCACACCCTAATATACACTGTCGCATTTTGGGCATTTTTGAAACTCAGCTCTTTGTCATTCCAGGCAGTATATTATGACCGCAATTTTGGCTTCCAAAAGCGGAAATTCATAAAACATATACTATTTTGGTCACCTCCTCATTTCAGGCTTCTCCACATTATTCCCACACTCCGCATTTTCGCATTTTTAGCCACCTACTGTGGGAATTGCACCACTACACCCAAAACATCACCTATTTTGGGAATCTCCACAATATCAATTATTCCCACACCCTCCCCACCTCACTGCAGCTTCACCACCACACCACAATAGGTCACTGTGCATATATAAGTAGTAGTGTAGTATATATATGTATAATGTAATGTAATAGACCGCTTTTTTTGTCTATTTGTGTGCCTACTCCTCCTCCAGGGCCCTTTCAACATAGGGTAGGTTATAGAATACTTTCGCATTTTTGCCCTTTTGATAGGAAAGTGTCCTAGGGTATTCAGAACATGTTTATGAGTATATTTGAAGTGATTCTAGTCTTTATTTGGCCCCCTGAAGCGTCCTACATCAATAGATATAGCATCTATCCATGAACACACAAAATATGCTCTAATATTATTATTTCTAGATGGATAGACTTTAAAAAATGATTCCCAGCTTCTATTCAGCAATAGGAACAATGTATTAGGAGCCCAGGACCATAGGATAATACCTTGTTGCACAGTGTACCCCCCTCTCCTGGTGGTTCACCCTCTGTGAAATTTTTTCCTGCAGAATCAGATCTCAAGGAGGGTATGTGGTCTACTCCTAAGCATATTCAGAGTATATCTATCATATAGCTAGCCCAAGACACACACAGGATCCCTCTACAGGAACAAAAACATGACAAACCACATTTTTCACAACTTTGATGTTTCTGACCACTCTACCCTTGCAATAATAATCCAACCTGTTCATATATCACTAGTATAGCATATATACTTGCTTTTGATGACCAAGATCAGCTCAATATAGGCCGGAATTTTGAGATAGTGTATATACTTGCTATTTCTACTGATTAGAGGCCCATACCTTCAAATCATCGAAATTTAATGATCAGACACCTGGAGCACATTCTAAATATATTCTGTATCATGGATCTCAATGTTCAGAAATATCCACCCAGAATTGAAATGTGGGGAAGTGAAATAGATAAGAAATTGAGTGTGGGAAACTTCAAATGCCCAAAACATCGAAAATGGTTGGTTGAGTAGTGATAGGACTTTAATGCTCATCAGCTTACTTTACCACCACATCCCTTCCACATATCTTCCACCCTCAGGGCAAAGGGTAGAATAGGTTCCTTGTGTAGTCTAACACACATACTATTAAAATTTAATAAAATCTTTGACCTCTGTCATATAGAAATGTGACTTTGTATGATATGTGTCAATTATCACATTTCCCACATATGTTCCTTTGCTTCCCTTTCACTCAATACTTGATGGATCTTTCTGAACATTGAGATCCATGATACAGAATATATTTAGAATGTGCTCCAGGTGTCTGATCATTAAATTTCGATGATTTGAAGGTATGGGCCTCTAATCAGTAGAAATAGCAAGTATATACACTATCTCAAAATTCCGGCCTATATTGAGCTGATCTTGGTCATCAAAAGCAAGTATATATGCTATACTAGTGATATATGAACAGGTTGGATTATTATTGCAAGGGTAGAGTGGTCAGAAACATCAAAGTTGTGAAAAATGTGGTTTGTCATGTTTTTGTTCCTGTAGAGGGATCCTGTGTGTGTCTTGGGCTAGCTATATGATAGATATACTCTGAATATGCTTAGGAGTAGACCACATACCCTCCTTGAGATCTGATTCTGCAGGAAAAAATTTCACAGAGGGTGAACCACCAGGAGAGGGGGGTACACTGTGCAACAAGGTATTATCCTATGGTCCTGGGCTCCTAATACATTGTTCCTATTGCTGAATAGAAGCTGGGAATCATTTTTTAAAGTCTATCCATCTAGAAATAATAATATTAGAGCATATTTTGTGTGTTCATGGATAGATGCTATATCTATTGATGTAGGACGCTTCAGGGGGCCAAATAAAGACTAGAATCACTTCAAATATACTCATAAACATGTTCTGAATACCCTAGGACACTTTCCTATCAAAAGGGCAAAAATGCGAAAGTATTCTATAACCTACCCTATGTTGAAAGGGCCCTGGAGGAGGAGTAGGCACACAAATAGACAAAAAAAGCGGTCTATTACATTACATTATACATATATATACTACACTACTACTTATATATGCACAGTGACCTATTGTGGTGTGGTGGTGAAGCTGCAGTGAGGTGGGGAGGGTGTGGGAATAATTGATATTGTGGAGATTCCCAAAATAGGTGATGTTTTGGGTGTAGTGGTGCAATTCCCACAGTAGGTGGCTAAAAATGCGAAAATGCGGAGTGTGGGAATAATGTGGAGAAGCCTGAAATGAGGAGGTGACCAAAATAGTATATGTTTTATGAATTTCCGCTTTTGGAAGCCAAAATTGCGGTCATAATATACTGCCTGGAATGACAAAGAGCTGAGTTTCAAAAATGCCCAAAATGCGGCAGTGTATATTAGGGTGTGGTGATATATCATTTGTGGTGATACATCATCTGTGGATGCCTGTGGTAAGCCAACACCAGGGATATATCATGGTTGGGTGCTGATTGAAGCAACTGATATATCATACCCACAGGATATTGTGGTCATCCAAAAATCAATGACAGAATCAACTGTAGAATTGGTGTGACAATCAACATGTTGGATTCCCTCTAATATAAAACAACATCAATTATTGCTGCTCACACACAAGAATCATATGGACTTTGATATATTTCTGCCCTTTGGTTATAACAGTAAGGCAAGACTGCAGGCCCTTCAAACACCACTGCATTTTGAGCCAGGAAAGGAGATGTTGATTCAAGAAAATGTAGAAGAGACGGTTGAGCTCATCATCCCAGGAATCCTGAGCACATGAAACATGCATGGCCCAGTTTTGACAGGCATAATTGAGAGTGACTGAAGCTGTTCAACTTCATTCCTGAGCTTTGCTTGCAAAATCCACGAAGGCATTCATAGCGCGAATGATGTCCCTATGCAGCAGAGGAGGACCATCTAGTGATGGTGATGCAGAAATGGAATGAGACTGGGGCATCAATGCTAGGAATATTGGCAGCATCAAGAAATCCAGCAAGCTCTTGAGCTGTTGGATAACTTTGAAGGCTGGCAGTGAAGCCAATTCTGGTGCAATGATATGCTTGGCAATTGCTTCCACCATCATCAAGAATTCTTCCATTGTGACCCAGACAGATGCCACAGGAGTGGACTGCCATGCTTGGCCATGTGGCATCTGGAGCCAGGCTTGCCCGGCTGGGGTCTGGAGCCAGTCTTTCCTGCATGTGGTCTGGAGCCAATGTCCTCCTCTCTGTGTCTGCAACCAGGCATGTACACCTGGGATCTGGAGCCAGTCTTGCCCTCCCTGAGTCTGGAGCCAATCCTGTCCTCCCTGAGTCTGGAGCCAGTTTTTCCCTCCCTGAGTTTGGAGCCAGTGCATCCCTCCCTGGGTCTGAACCCAATCTTTCCCACATGCAGCCTGCAGCCACTCTTGCCCTCCCTGGGTCTGAAGCCAGTCTTGCCCTCCCTGGGTCTGCAGCCAGGCTTGTCCTCCCTGGGTCTGCAGCCAGTTGCGCCCCCCCTGGGTCTGTAGCCAGTCTTTCCCATACATGCCCTGAAGCCAGACTTGCCTGTGCAAGGTCTTCAACAAGTCTCGCCCATATGCAGTCTGCAGCCAGGGTTGCATGTTATGGGTCTGCACAGAGGTTGTCTGGCCTGGGATCTGCACCCACGCTTTCTCACCTTGGGTCTGCAGCCACTCTTGCCCACACCTGGTCTGCAGCCATCCCTCTCCTTGGATCTCCAGGAGCCAGTCTTCCCCTCCTTGTGTCTGAAGCCAGGCACGCCTGTCCAGAGTCCCTAGCCAGGATTGCAACTCTGAAGTGCGATCTCCCTGAAGCCATAGCATACAGATAAGAACTGACAGTGGCTCCAATGGTCGAATGAGGAAGGATAATGAGTCTTGTAATCTACGGGGGTCCTTGGGTTGCATAGCTTTGCTTTGCTTCTTCAGTTCTGAGAGTGCACCCAAGAGAGTCATGCTTTCTGGAATATTTTTCATCATCAAGTGAAAAGAGGAATCGGTGAGGAGGAAGTGGGGTGATGGCCTATCATGTTCGCATACTTAAGGGAGGTTGCAATTTGAGGGGTCAGAAACATAGTCGTGAATGGATGGGTGATACATATTTATGGGAAGAGTGCTGTCTGTAGGGATATCCATGACAGACTATAGCTGTATCAGCATTGTCTGCACATCCCTGCCCAAACCAGAGCCAAGAAGTGACAAGATTTGTGAGATGGGAAGAGGGTCTGCAAGCGCAGCAATGATGGACAAGTACATGTAAGCCCACTTGGGGTCAGCACACATGGAGAGGATGTGGTCATATAACTTATGCACCTCTGTGCCTGGTAGCAGCTTGCTCGTGAGCTTGAGCATCAGCTGTGATCGATCATGGGGATCATTGTATTGATCATGGAGATCCTTGTGCCCATTGTCGGCAATAAACTTCATCATTGTAGATGCCACAATGAAACATCTGCCCACTTGGCTCACCAGATCATGGAGATCCTTGTGCCCATTGTCGGCAATAAACTTCATCATTGTAGATGCCACAATGAAACATCTGCCCACTTGGCTCACCAGCTTTGTGAGGTCATCCTCTGATGGCTGAGGGAAATTGGTATAGCGACTTTTCAGCTCTCCAAAGGAATGCCACAAGAAAGTACAGATGTCGTTGTCAACACTATCTAATGAAATGATGCCACCCTCCCCAGAAACTGTCAGGGGTATCTCGTGCACCAATGAGCACACTTTGTCCCTCTGAAATGCTTGAGAGATGTGGGATTCCGTGCGACTCGTGAGCAGAATGTGGGTCATGGGTAGATGAGGGTCATGAAGAGCCCATGCAAGGGAAAGGATAAGATTGGTAAGCTTGGGTTCAAACATGCATTCATCAAGGGCATCAATAACAAATGTCAAAGGCAGGCACTTGTGTAACCTGAGTTGGAGTTTCCAAAGAGGTTGGAGAAAGAGAGCCTCCATCTGGTCAGAGAGAGGCATGTCAGCATCTAGTAGAGTGGGATTGCTGCAAATAGCTCTATTCACGTCACTCTGGATGCTGGGGAAATTGGTGGCAAGCTGGTAGACAAGTGTTGCAAAAAAATACCCAGTGGTATGACGTTCTGTCTTGTCACATGAGAAAAAGAATGTTCCTCGAAGCTGCTTTTCGACATGTGTCTTCTCTGTCACTTTGAGACTTTTCATTGTCTCAGCCACAGTGAATGCAATGGCAGACTTCCCAATGCCTGCCATGCCATGCAGCCAAATGAGTTGACTCTTCTTTGGGTCATCCAGGAATTTGTGGATGGATTTGAGGAGATCTATCTGAGTCCTTTCTAAGCATTTTGGGTGGAGGTGACATTTAGGGGAATCATATTGAGCATCCTTGACAATGACCTGGGACAGCCTCATCCAAGTGTCTTCAACTGTTAAATAGGTCAGTGTGGGAGAGATAAAAGATGGATGGACTGACATTGACCCCCACTCATTCATGAAGGTTGTGATGTGCGTGAATGGACCACTGAAAGTACTAGCTGAGTTCGAGGGTGCCAATGATCCAGTGGGGTTGGTTATCTTGAGATGATGTACGAAAACATGAATCAAAGCTTGTATCCATCACAATCACAAGTTGGGACAAAACTTAAGATGAATGTTTGAAACAATCTGGAAAACCTGCTGGAACCTAGTGCATGCATGGATAGTGGATGACTTCCTGTAGGCAAAATAATTACTTCGTGTGAAAAATTGATGGTCCAATGGGTGAGGTAACTTAGTGTTGTTGTCAAGGTGAGTTCAAAATTTTAGTGTTACCACTGAGACAAATTCAATTGAATCAAGGTGGGAAATTTCAGCAACTTGACACAACTTGGCACTTACAAGTTGTAACAAATTGTGCCTCATTAGACTCGTGAGTTGGTAATGAGCTTGGGAGTGATACAGACTGAAAGTCCAGCCAATGAGAAGCCAGTGATGCTTGTACCACCAATGATGACTATTTGCAAGTAGCTACACAAAAAGCAGACAGAACTAATTACAATCAATTTCCCTTGCATTCATGAGCAACTGATCGAGCTCTCAAAGATTCCCAGTAACCATCAGCTTGTCAACTGCTCTTGGGATTACAGGTCCACATATTGTGTAGTCTTGCCTGTTAGCCACCAGGTCTGCTATAAAATTGAGGTGGTCTTGCTTGTAAACGAACTTCAGAACTTGTAGTGCTTCAAGTGTGGTCAGAGACAGGTTACTGCACCATAGAGTGCAGGTCTCTTTGCTGGATGAAAATATATGCTCAGAAGGCACAGATGAAGCTTGAGCAGGTAGGTCATCCATAGCAACGCGAAATAGAAGTGGGAATGTATGCTCTTTTTGTGACATAACAATTTCTAATCAATGAAGGAACTAGCTTCACACCCATTGTGCCTTTGGCACAGGAAGCAAATGGAGTGCTTCGTGCTCCTTTTTGGCTTCCTGGCCTTGGCTGCATCCTAGCATGTGCAATAAATAATTGATGAAAAATTGAATGAGAGCACAGGGGAATGGGGGAACAGACCAAAAGTGCTCGCTCTGCTCACACCTTTGGTGTTATGAACTTGGATAGAGTGTTGTTCCAATAAAGGAATCAAGGGTCAAGGCCGATCAAAGACTAAGCCTTATTGAGTAATGCCTCCCTCAGGAGCAATCATCTAGACTCCCACAGGATCTAGAGTTCAAATGGGGCAATGGCTAGCCTCCTTCCCAAGGAGCTAGAGTTTGAGTATGAAAGAAAACCAAGTAGATTCAAGTTAGAGAAAATACAAGCAGTAACTAGGGTTTATATATGTAAAGGAATTGTGCACAGACCAAGTTGGGTGAAGGGTAATGAGTACTAAGAAAGGAAGGTTCATGGGAAAACAGAGTATGAGTCAGAGATAAGAGAGACCATGAGGGAACAGCACAGTGAAAAGGAAGCGTCAGAAGTACAGCCATAAGGCACCTGCAGTGATGATGGGAAAAAGAGTGGGGCATTGTAACATTACCCCCTGGTCAATGTCTGAAGTCACTGACTTCAATCACTAAGAGACTGATAGTTGTTAGGGTCAAAGTCAGTGTCTCTCACAAATTGCTTCTCATGCTCCTCTTGTTCAAGATCTTTTCTATCTTCATAGATCTTGAATTGGTGATGGAAGGCCCAAGAGCTGGGTTTGGTGTTAATGATACATCATCCCCTAAGAGTGGGACAATAGGCGGTGAGGTGTTTTGGAGCATGGTGATGGCATTCTTGGCAGAAGTAGTGAGGGCAGTGGACCTGATGATGTCCTTCCTGCTGGCAGTATCGACAAGTGATGGTGGAATAGTTAACACTGTTTCAGTCATGATAAATTTCCTCAGATGGGGCATGAGAGTTAGAGGAGGATACTGGTTTGTCTTCATCAATGATGATGGGTGGAGCAGGAGATGATGTGATGGGACATGAAAGGCCTATTCTGAAGGTGATGGTGTTTCTTTTCTTACCACAAGTGCGGCATGGGTTTCCTGCAGAATGTACTGCAAGCTAAGAGGAAGAAGGGACAGGGGTGTCATCATTGGAAGATTCTGATGGAGATCTAGGGACTTCTTGGGTGAAGAAGCAAAGAGGTTCAACAGAGACAGAGTGTTCTAGTTTCACAATCTCAGAGATCATCTCTGGGGTGAGTGCTTGCTCAAACCCTCGATCTAGGAGTTGTTCAGCAATGAGGGATTTGATCTTGGTCATATGATAGATGATGGAACACTTGGTGGTTTCTTCAGCAGGAGCTGCAATGGTATGGGCATAGCTAGACGCCAGGTCTGCGCTGCAATGAATGGTCATCAAAGAAAGAGAAACAATATCTTCAGAAAAGAAATGATCTAAAGGTAAAACACAAGGAAGGGAAGAAAGGGTCAATTTAACAAGAGCTCGCTTGTGGTGAAGTTTGAGCTGAGAGTGATGGAGTTCAAGAGAAGAGTTTGAGGATTGTGAAGAAGGCATATTCTGAGATCAGGTTTCTAGGTAAGGAGTTGAGAGAGTCAAAGGCAGTCTTAATAGGTTTTCAGGATTTCCTGGGTGTTGTCTAATTCCTTTTCAGGGAGCCAGGAGTTATCTGAAGAAGGATAACCCTTCCATGATATGAGGAAGCATCATTTTCCTTTTACATTTCCCTTATGGGTGAGAATGGCTTCTATCTTGTATTCTTCTTGTCCATTGATGATGTCAGGGGGTGGTTTGGTGTGGTTCGGGCCATGAACTTCTGTTTCCCAATAGGAGGATAACTTGGAAGCATGAAAGACAGGGTGTGATTTCCAGGAGGCAGGGAGTTGGATCTTGAATGTGATGGGGGAAAGGATGGCTTCTATTGTGAAGGGGCCATAGTGTTTAGGGGTGAGCTTCTTTGAGGGTAGTCCAGTGATGAGATTCTTTGCTGATAGCCAAACTTTCTCACCAATCTTCCAGGGTTCAAACTTCTTTCCAAAAGTCTGATCAGACATGCGTTGCATGGCAAGATTGTGACAGGAGATGGCTTCTTCTTGGATCTTCTGAAGGTATTTGACTCAATCTTCTGCTGCAGGGATGGCAGAGTTTGGGAGAATATAGGGGATTCCTTGGGGTTCATAACCCATCATGAGGTGAAAGGGGGAGACATTGTGGGCATCATGTTTTTGGTGATTGTGGACAAATTTGGCCATTGGTAGATGCTTTACCCAGTCAAGAGGAGTGGAGTGGCAATAAATGCAAAGGTAGGTTTTGAGTTCTTGATTCAGATGTTCAGTCTGTCCATCAGTTTGTGGGTGGTAGGTGGTGGAGAGTGCGACTTCATAGTCAAGGAGTCTTCCAAGTTCTTTGGCAAATTTAGAGGCAAACTGAGGTCCTCTATTGGAGATGATCTTGTCATAGAGTCCGAATCTGAGAAAAACTTTCTTGAAAAAGAGTTGGGTGACTCCTTCTGACATAATGGTTTTCTTGCATGGTGAGAGAATTACCCCCTTCATAAGGCCATGGTCTACCATGACCATAACCGAATCAAAACTGCCTGATTCAGGCAAGTCAGTGATCAGATCAATGGAGATCTGTGAGAAGGGGCGAAGTGCAGAGGAAGGGATAGGGTTCAAGGGTGGTGTGGAAGGATGGGTGTTGGATTTCATTTGCTGACATAGGGTGCAACCCTTGATGTATTTGTGGATAAATGTGCCCATTCTGGGCCACCAATAGTCATATTTGACTAATTCTTCAGTTTTAAAGTGTCCTGGGTGGCCGGCAGTGGGATGATCATGGTGGAGGTGCAGAATGTGGTGTCAGAGATGAATGGGGACATAAGCATGGTTCTTATAAAACAAAGTGCCATCATCAAACTTCCAGTCAGAAAGGGCAGATTTCATAGGGGGTGTGTTAAGGTCGCATGCTCAAGGGGGTCGGATCACAAGGGCTTGGCCTCAGCTCATATGCTGTGCCCCTTTCCCAAGTATGTGCCCTTAATTTCTGGGGGCTAGAACAGTTGTCTGGAGTTTCTGGGATTTGACTAGGGTGGACAACAGATGTTCAGATGTTACTTGGACAAGTGGATAAGGCTAATCAAGACGAAGTCCAGACTAGAAACTAACAGGGGATAGATTACCCTAAGGTAGAGCCGGAGATGTAGTCTAGGATACAATCCTAAGACTCAGAATATGACAAGAGACTTGGCTTGAGTCCAGAGGACACAGGAATGAGCAGGAACTAAGATGATATTTGAACTGAAGTATTTCCGAGAGTTACAGGAGGTTTATATACTGTAGGTATCATATAGGAATCAGTCAGCAAACACAAAGGCTATGTATGAAGCATATGCAAAGTCTATTAGTAAGTAGGATGGATCACCAATAATGAATACTGGAAATGAAATGTATGTAATGGATCAATAATCAGAAGGGAAACATAGTTAACCAGAGTCCAGAGACAGGGGAAGTCTAAATGGGGTTGGGTGCTGATATAGGGTTTGGATTCCAGGAGGAAGATAAAGATAGATCAGATCATTGGAGATCTGGATCTCAGATCCAGATATCTGGAGAAGTGGATTTAGAGTTGAGAGTCTGGAATGGTATATGACAGGGTGCGTTTAACCCATCAAGGGCTTGTTGTGCAGCCAGAATGACAGGGTCAGAGAGAGGGTCCATGGCTTTCAGGGCATTGGCAAGGCCATTGTCAATAAGACAAGAAAACATGGTGTCGGGGAGGAGTGTGACATTGGAATTATCCAGGGGATTGGAAGAGTGATCAGGGCAGCATGAGAGAGCATCAGGAGTGGCAAGTTTGCTTCCTGGGACATGGTGGAGTTCAAGATCAAATTCATTCAGGGTTAACTGCCAATGTGCTTGTTGGTGAGTGAGGTTCTGTGCTGAGTGGAAGTAGAGGAGGTTCTTGTGATTGGTGAATACAATGACAGGGTGAGGGTTCCCTTCAAGGTAATGTCACCATGCTTTCAAAGCATGGATAATGGCAAGGA